GTAGGGAAAAAGAAATAGAGGGTTGTGTAGAATCAGTCATATGCTGCACATATGCCTGGGGTAGTGCTGTCTTTTTAGTCTGCCTGGAAAATCCTTCTGGGAATACCCTAGATATGTCACTGATCTTGGTGACTTGCTGTCCTCTAAAAAGTTTGAATTTAGCAAAAAATGGATAACAAATTGTATGGTGTTTTCTGGACACTTTTCTAAAGCAAGTACTTTGTTTATACCTTAAGTTTCTGTTGTTAGATGTCATCTGTTACTGAAAATGGAGATGTTACTGCTGCAAAGCCAAATGAAGAGAAAACATATAAAAAGGTAAATAAGACTTGCAACCTTTTCATTGCGTGTTTTTCCCTTCATAATGGTAATTCAAACCTGCTGTAAGTGCAATATATTTCAGAACTGACTAAATACAAGAACAAACAAAACACGTTTCATGGATTTTTTTGAAAGTGCTTTATTCCTTCTGTGAAATCGTAAGACATTTCTACCCACTGCAGAGCTGACTATTTGAAAAATTGTTCAGGACAGGTTTAAAGGTATGCACTTTTGCTAGATTGATGGAAATTCTTTGGTCTTAGCAACAGGTACACCTCTGGGCATAAACACCGCTGTCAGAAGTTTCGTATGGTAAGTTCCCAAATCCTTTGAATCATAGAATCATAGAATCATTTAGGTTGGAAAAGACCTTTAAGATGATCCAGTCCAACCATTAACCTAACATTACCAAGTCCACACTAAACCAATTAAGGGTAGACTAGACTAAACCATGTCCCAAAGTGCCACATCTACCTGTTTTTTGAACACTTCCAGGGATGGTGACTCCACCACCTCTCTGGGCAGCCTGTTCCAATGCTTGACTACCCTTTCCATGAAGAAATTTTTCCTAATATCCAACCTAAACCTCCCCTGGTGCAGCTTGAGGCCATATGAATGTTTATGCCATGTGTATGGACTACAAACTTTTTGTTTGCTTTGTTTTTTAAAAAAGAAATATTCTTTAAGAGAGGACATATTTAATGTCGGAGCATGCATCAACGGTAGCAGCATAGGTCTATTTAGGTGTTGTAGCAGTAGCTGATGCTGGTTTTGGTTTTCTGTCACTGATTGTCTGGGACCAGCATTATTTAGGTCCACCTATCACTGTTGATAACTAAGGGGAGCTATAAATGCACATTTTTCTATACATATTTAAACAATGAAATTGTTAGATGCTGGATTTGGTCATTTTCTTGGTAGATCACCTCAAAGAAGTGATGATATTTTCTTTTTAATGTCTGTAATGTAGCACAGGCATCCACATGTTCCTGCAGTATATATCATGGGTTAGGGTTTTTCATTTCTGAGTGTTGCCTACAGCACTGCTAGTGAAGTCAAGGAGAATAATAAGCTACCATTTTTTTCTCCCACCCCTTTTGTTGGCAGCTACATTTTCAGTATCAATATTTCAATATCTAACATTCCAGATAATTTTCTCAGAAATGAAAGGAAATAATGTTCGAGAAAACGCTTTTGTTCTTTTTAGCTATAGGTTATGCTTAGTCTTCTAGCTTATGACTTTTAAAATACTGAAGTCTAAATTGGTCTTGACATTTAGTATGAGAAAGGAAGAAAAGCTCAGTGCCTAAGGTGGACACTTTTGCAGTTTTATGTTGCTAGACTAGACAAGACAAATCCTGGTAGTCCCACCACAGGTGAGTTTCCATTCCCCCCAGTCATCCTACATGCTCTTCTCTGTTTCTGTTCAACTCTAAGTTCACAATATTCCAGAGGAAGCCTCGTAAAGACTTCTCACCATGGCACAAATTCTTCTGTGTATTTACTGGAAGTACATCTCTGACCAAACCTAGGATTCACAACCGTATTAGATTGGGAGATGACGGTGACTATCATCTCCAAATTCTACCCTTTCCCTGAACCACTGGTTGTCTTGTACTTGTATCTTACACCAGTTTAATTCCTTTTCTTATACTTACACCCTCAGTTGTTCTCTGTTCAAGATCCTGTGTTGCATATGTCCCATAGTTTAGTGTTACAACCGAGTATTATCATTATGCTTTTGCTTCTTAATAAAATATAGATAAAAATAATTAATTTTGACACCAATGTATTTATCCATGCAGGGCTTACTGGTAGCATGTCTTTGCCTGATGCTTTCGCTTTTAACAATGTATCTCTCCTCTTAAGCCAAATTCCTTACAAATCTTGCACTTTCTGTTAATTCTCACCTTCTCCAGATATTCCATGTACATTATTTCAGGTTTTCTTACAGCAGTCCAGAGGAATCAACTGCATATGTCTAGAAAGGTGGTTACAGGGTGAGCCTGGCAGGACCTGTGCTTGACAGAGGCATTTCATGCCATTTCCCATTTAATTCCATATTTTTAGGTAACTCACAAGGAGATCTTGCTCTGTTGAAGTCTTGTTTACAGTTAAGACCCACCTGTCTTTTATTGCCCACATCCCTTTTCTCTTTTAGACAGGTATTGTGTTTACAGTTCTCCAGTCACGTGTTGTTGCACTTGGTTTGTTTGGCTGGAAAATAATTGCAGTTCTGACTTGTGACTTCCTGTGCCACTTCCTCCAGAAATCTGGGCTGGGGAAGAGCTTGTTTCCTCAGCTGGTGGTTTTTCATCTACTTGGGCAGTTCCTGTTCCCATCTACCACTGCCCTTGATCGCAGTGGAAACACTTGGCTGAGATACTCATGTAGTTCTGAGGTCAGACCGTGCTTGCTAACCCGTTCTCATTGCTCAGAGGCTTCGCTTCCACCTTTTTTTTTTTTTAAAAAAAAAAAAAAAGTGACGTAGCTTGTGCTGTTCAGCTTAGAAAAGCAAGGGACAGTACCTTGGCTTCAGTTGTGGCAGTTCTGGTTTTTGCTATGCTCTGACCTCTAATGTATAGCACAAGGGCAGCTGTATAACTACTGTTAAGATGGGACTGAGTAAGTTTATGAAGGACTGTGTGGCATGGGACCTATGATACTGGTGTGTATCTTTGACCTGGAATGTTCTTAGAAGTTACATGCCTGCCTGCAAAGGTCTGGTAGCCAAAGAAGTTGTGTCATGAGATGTGGGCATGGAGGGTTTCAATGGAACAATAGTATAGCTTGAAGCAGAATCAGTAAACTAACATGTAGTTTAGAAATACAGATCCTAGAAAAGTTCTGTAATGTCAAGTTTTATGTGGGTAATTCAAGGGATTTCTAGTGATAATTCTGGGAGATAATCATCCTGAAATGTGATGACAGTTTCAGTCTCAACCCCACCCTAGGCAAAAGGTCACACCTGCAAAGCAGAGAGATTAGCAAAGGAAGAGGTAATGTCATTCTGCCATCGTCTCCTGTTGTGGGACCCACCGGTTCCACATGAGGACTCGGTAACAGTAACTTTTGTCATGAGCTGTGTGGTGTGGTCTTAACTTTAAAATTTAATCTTCCTTGGGCTCTTTATCTTCTCACAGAGCAAAATGCCAGTGTGCCTCTATTTCTTTATCCTCTCCCAGCAGTTGCAAAGGAGCTTGCTGATTCAGGATCTGCAGTCACTTTGTGGAGAAAAGTACATGATACTCAAATGCATGCTGGAATCCCTATAATGCCCCAAATAAAATGAAATCTCTGGGGATAAGGGATGCACTGATACTGCCCTGCTGAAAGGTTACATTTTCCTTGCATGAGGTGGGGGGTGCAGGGAATCAATTTTCAATCTGATCTAAAAAGCAAAATAGCCTTTTGTTTTAAACAGTTTTGCATTTTACTTAATTATATGTTGTGTCCATTCATCTTTCATAACAGTATGCAAAGATTATGTCTGTGCAGCTTTAGTCATATATATATACACACATATATAAAAATTCCAGACAAATGGGAAAAGTGATGCATGGAAAATGTCTGCTTTGTGGTGTAAAATCCAATGACCCATAAGAGAAAAGTAAATAAATGTCTTGGCTTTAGAGGTATTTTCCTTGCGCCAGGTCCAATGAGAAAAAAGCTTAACAAATCAATATATATTAAGCAATGTTTTAGTTGCTTGATCTGGAAATGTAAATATCCCTTATTAATAACTGTGAACTGTCTCATAAGAGAAAGCTGTGGGAAAATTAGAGAAAATAATTGCAAATACTTGATTTTTTTAATCAATCTGTTTTATGCAAGTGTAAAACAAAATAGTGCTTTTGTCTTAGAGATAAAAGTGGTTTTATCTAGTGTAAATGAAACTTACCTTAGCCAATACAATCTGTCCTATTGATGTAGAGATTAATAACTACTGATTAGATGAATTACTAAAACCCATTTCCATCAGAAAACAAATAATTTCTAATGGCTGTTTGATGAAAAACAATTTTCTGCTGGGGCATGTAGAAAACCTTCACATTCTTTTCCTTGTGGTTCACTCCCCCTTAATTCTGATGACTCTGGAGCAGATGATGTAGATAACTGCTTTGGACTGACTAATGTGGGAAAGACATACAGCTGCAGTTGCACCTAGTGATGTGGGACTGAGTTGCTGCAGCAGGTGGAGAATGAGTGGGAACTAAAGACTCCTTAATCTGCTCCCTCTTCTTTCCCTCTTTATTCTGTAATTCTGCTTTTTGCACACTGTTCACACTGTCAGGGAATGCACTGCTGAGGGTGATGTTCTCATCTAGTGCACCTCATCTCTGAGGACTAGTTAGATGTGATAAATTAGTTTGTAGCTGTATGCTAAGAAAAAGCATCTGAATCATTCACTGGAGAAAATGGGCAATCTTCAAAATGTGTTTGTCCTTCCTCTGCGTGTATGCATCAGTGTATTTTGGTAACTCTTTGGCATAGTTTGGCCTTGGGAGAACTGCCAAAGGGATTACTTGCCTGTTCATCCTGGGGGAAAAAGGAACCTTGTTTATAATGGAAAAGTTTATTTCTAACCTCTAGTATCCTTGCTGTGCAGTAGCAATATGTTCCAAACATGTCCTGAATCTATGTAGATTAGTTATAAGAGCTGTCCATATATTACAAACATCTGTAGTAATGGCTGGTTTTCATTGTTTTTAAGTTCACCTCAGTTGGATAAAAATTAATTATCTCCAGGAAAGCATCTCTGACTTCATCTAGGATGAAGCTTTCCAGGATAGTAAGTAATCTCTAGGCCTATCAGTTGCATTTCTGGGACTTACATTCTTCCAATATTTTCTTTAAGATTTTGTTCAGCTCAGCTAAAATAGAGGTAGGTAACATCTTTAATTAAATTTGCATTTCTTCAGTTTCCTACAATAGTCAAGTTTTGGCCCACTTCCCTGGCAGAAGAAAATCTGACTTGCCAGCAGCATGAATGTAAA